TTAGGTGCTGGATATTTCACATATATACAACACGCATTTTAAGTCTTACGACCAGTTGCAAAACTCTATCATCAGGTTAATGTAAGAAATGTGCATTTTTGTCCGCTAGAAGCATGTGTACATGTAAGTTTCCACGCGCTTTATACTCATCAATTTCATTTTAACACGCATATTGGAATAAGACAAACAAGATGTAATTTTTGCATTACTTTCTTAATAAGTAATGGTAAGGGGAGTGAGAGATTTACTGTATACAGCTAAGTAAGCAAACATATGTATTTAAATGAGAAAAATAAGATGTAATTGTTGAAGAAATAACGGCAGGCGATATGAGATCTTTAAAGTATACAACGAATTGAATTGATTATCTATTTGCACTAAATGTTTAGATCTATGTTACAAATGGTTTACAAGTTACGAACAGAATGAGAAAAGTTAATTATTTTGCTATTTTCCAAGTATAAACAGTATATGTTCATTTTGAATTCTAGGGTAATTTTGTGTCGTTTTCAAATTAGAGAACTTTGGTTAAAAGATTATTTTTGAGAAGCAGCACAACCAAAATAAACATTGCGGTTAAAAAAGTTACAAAAATAGAACGGTAAACATATAACATAGAGTATTGTTTTCTTTACAATTCTTATAAAAACTACTGTCTTTTGCTGTCGTTATAAAGTAAGAAACATATTAATTTTTATATTAAAATAGTTTTAGATAAATAAAAATAATTTTGTAAATCAATTATACAGTGATTATGTAATTGGTACAAATGGGCAGTTATCGACCACTATTTTATATTTCTGTAAACATTTGTTTTCTTTGTCATTGTTTGACTTGAATATGAGTTGATCACATAAGTGCTGTCACAGCATAAATGCAGTATAATATGAGTTGATCACATAAGTGCTGTCACAGCATAAATGCAGTATAATATGAGTTGATCACATAAGTGCTGTCACAGCATAAATGCAGTATAATTCTTATATGTATGGTGAGTTGATCACATAAGTGCTGTCACAGCATAAATGCAGTATAATTCTTATATGTATGGT